TTTGCACGCCCAATTTTTCAGTTTTTTATTTGTTAAAAAAGTTTGAAATATCCAATAAATTTCGTTCCACTTCATGATTGTGTCCCACTTGTTGTTGATTCTTCACAAAAAAATTAGTTTTATATCTTTATGTTTGAAATGTGGCAAAAGGTCGCAAAGTTCAAGGGGGCCGAATACTTTCGCAAGGCACTGTATATAAAAAAACAAATCAGGTAAAAAAAAAAAAAGGGCTTATTATTATGCTAATGTGACACACTTTACAGTCCAGATAGAAACATTTTCAGGTCCAGATCTGAACCGGAACACCATTTGAGTACCCCTGGTTTATATCATCTTCTAACCTACTCCAAAACAAGCTAAAATTAAACATTTGCTGCAAATGCCTTTTGACCCTGATCTGTACCTGTGGCACCCAGAGGATGTCCCTTAGAGATGAGCCCACCACTCGGGTTGACCACGAACTTGCCTCCATACGTGTTGTCCCCTCTGTCAATCAGCTCTCCAGCTTTACCTGGAGAGAATTGGAAACACGCAAGAAGATGACAAGTTCAGAAGGACAGCTGCCCTATATTGTGGCACACATTCTTAAAATCGATAATTGCTGTATTTCCCACAAGAATGGTTCTTGTGTGTGGAGCGCTATATTCTGTATTCAAATGCCCTCATGCTCTTTTAACTATACTGGGGAAATGGTGATTTGAATATTTGCAGACATATATTAGCACAGAGGGCAAAAACATTCCTAATCCTGGGGCTCATTTTCATTTACTACCTAATCTTCCAGAAGTAAAAAAATTTATTTAATTAAATTAGGGTGGAAGAAAGATTGTGAAAAATATACACAGTTTAGGCTTTAAGAGCTGCAGTCTTACCCTCTGGACACAGCCCCAGAGCCTCATACGTGATGAGCTCATTGGCTGAGAAGCAATCGTGCAGCTCAACCACATCAATGTCACTGGGCTTCAGACCTGCAGCCTCATAACACTTTTTAGCTGCAAGCCAAGACATGTCATATCCGACCTGAAAAGAACAAACAAACAAATAGAATCTTTAGGAACTAGTTTAAGGAAATACGTTTCTTTCTCACAACTTATCCTGGTTATCTCCTGGGACACTTGAGACTGTTTGGATGAAAAGTATAACTAATAACGTAATGATTTTCTCCTTGCTGGTTTTTAAAGAAAGACCACAAATCCTGTACATTTCTATTGTTCCCAGCTTGGATTTTTTTAATGGTATGTGGAGCTTTACTTTCACTGGGTGCAACTATACCCACCGATTTGTTATCATGATATGATGAAAAGCAGATACAGGCTCAACCCATGACTCTCCAAATACTGTATCCGTGTCAGTAGGAGCGCAGTGAACCTTCAGTAACAGAGTCCTACATTTCTTACCATCTTAATGCAGCTGTTTTCTTCAAATGTAGAGGCCAGGTCAGTCACCATCTCTTGGGCCACAATCTCCACTGCCTGGTTCTCCAGACCGTGTTTCCTGACGAATGCTTTGCTGGCCAGAACTGCTGCTCCAGCACCATCTGATGTAGGGCTGACGGCAGAAGAGACAGCATGAGGACCAGACATCAGAGCTGAGACGCAACATGAGGCAACTATCACTGATTCATAGATCACAAGCAGCACTTTGAGCATAGTTTGTGTACTCAGCTGATGTACACGGTGACCACTTGAGTTAAATAAGAAAGAAATCTCTAAAGTTTAAATGTGTGAGGCTCTAACCAACACTGAAGCAGAGTGAGGAAGTCAAACACCTTCCTGGAGCTCATCACCTGCTCCAAAGTGTACTCATCCTGGAATTGGGAATACCTGCATGAATGTACACACACACACACACACATTTGAAACTGAGAAGCAATTTCATACATTTTTAATAAGTGAACTTTGTCTTACGGGTTGTTGGTAGAATGTTTGTGATTTTTCCAGGCAATTTTAGCAAAGTGTTCCGGTTTGGTACCTTGAAGAGTTGAAAATATTGACACAAACATTTATATGACACAGTAAAATCAAGAACATAATGAAAGATACAACCATATGTTTCATATTTTAGACCTATCTTTAACCCTCATGTACCATATTTCTCCATGTGCTCCCTGCCAGCGTTGCCAAACATCTGTGGTGCTGCTGGAGCCGCCACCATTCCGTAGCAGTTGATCATCACCTCCATGTGCTTGTCCATGGGATTGGTCCTGTCCATATACTACAAACAGGTATTTTTTAATAACAATTCTAATAAGTCTAAGGTTCCTGAAATGCTCAGCAATTCAGAAACATAACTGCACTAGGAAACAAATACACCATCAATATCTCAAGTAATATCATATGACATAAGTAGTAAGCTATAATGCCATATGATACAATTATCCCTGTTGTGATGATAAAAGAGCAATAAATACTTGTATATGTTTACGTTTCTGTCACAAGCAAAAAATTAGACAAAAGAATTCATTTAGACAAAGTGCTCGGCCTGTTGCTTTTTAAACAGGTACAACTTTTCATTCTGCCCCCCCCCCTCTGTTATAAAAACTCCCTCGCCAGCAATAAGCAGTAAAGGAAACCTAATAGAAGCAGGGGCCCCAGCTGACATTCTTCCTCTTTAGGATAACCACCTGTTCTGCTAGCAAACACTACAGGAGGTAGACATGCTAATAACATTATGGAGAATTACAAGATATTGTTAAGTGTTCCTGTTGTTTTGTCCACCTCCTCTTCATCATGAGAACAAATTGTTTTATACCTTTGAGGACAAAGAGCCCCTCTCCATCTTCTCAAACCCGAGGGCAAGAACACAGTCTGCAAGGCCTACAAACAGAGATGAGATGTGCTCAACAGATAATGAATTGTATGGACAATGCAATACTTTTTTCTGTAGTGAAACTATCACTGGAATCCCTTGAAACCACTTCGAATTCATTCCGACTACAGCCCTTTTGGATATCAAGAGCCAAAGTCATGTTGTCGCATCCAGTTGCCCTCTGTTCCACTAGCTTCAGTGACTCTCATTTAGCACTTTTTCATCAGTCATTGTAAAGAAACTAAGCGCAGCCCTTGGGATTTCTTTTCATATTCTAAGACAAGCCACCAGCCACACAGCTCTCTATACAGTACATATAAAGTTTTTACAGCCCCCTTTTTGAAAATATAGATTTCAGGTGTTTCATTTCATTCAAGGCTTCATTATCTGACTCACCTCCCTGGACCAGCTGGCGTGCCATGAAGAGAGCAGTGGAGCCTGTGGAGCAGTTGTTGTTGACGTTGATGATGGGGATCCCAGTCAGACCCAGGCTGTGGTAAATGGCTCTCTGCCCACAGGTGGAGTCTCCTGAGGGAGAAAGGTTTGGGACATTGTTTATGTGTAAGTTATGAGAGTATTTGTGAGAGTATATACTGTATTTACAGTACATAGAAATATCAAGATGTTAGTATTCAGTATTTCTGTGAACAACATGCAAAATGAAAGTAATACACAGAATAGTCACTCAACAATGTCTGACCATAGACGTATCCTACACAGGCCTGTTCAATGGCAGAATACGGGATCCTTGCATCTGCTAAAGCCCTTTGGCCTAAAATAGGAGACATACCATAATAAAACACTGTAGTACAGTATATATTAAACAATAAGATCAATTTCAGACATTCAGATGTGGTATCTTATGAATAACACAATGAAGATGAGCACCTGCTTCCTTGGCCATATCAGGGTAGTCACGGTTGTCTTGGGCTCCAGGCTTCTCAAACTGCAACATAACAAAATGCCAGACAGATTAGTGCCACTAAACATCAGTATATCTAATTAAATCTTTTATATTAGCAGACATCAAGCTCCTCTCTTATCATTAATTTGGGTGTAACTTAATCTAGAATCACTCTGCTGAAATAAACCTCAATAATAAGAAGCTTAGAGGTGTAAACTCACTGGCAGACATGCATGTGGCTAAAATTGCTATAATAACTATTTGCAAGCATTCAGGGTTAGAGATCCCCACAAAAGTGCAAAACATTGTTGGTACCATCCTACTCAGGACGCATTTGTTTTAAGTTAATGAGCCTTGTATTGTCATTTATCAACACAACACAAAACTTGACAGTCCACTACCAATAACAAACTTCAAACAGGAGGGACGTGTAAAAACCTATTTGTGAGAATGGAGCGATAGCACTACTAAGTCAACCCATTTTAAGTACGAAAGGCAACATAAATGTGGTTTAGTATTCAGACTGACAGGGGCGTCTGATTTGTATAACCAATCAGTTGCACAATGACCCTTAGCACAGTTTGCAACCACAGTGACCATGAACTATGGACTCAAAATGAAAGCATGAAATACAGACAGCATTCAACACAGGCCTACAATTAACTCAAAGTTATTTAACTCACAAAATCGATAACTCTTTAACTGAAAAACTGCGACAATGTTAGCGTTTGGGCTAACTTGGCTAGCTAAAGCTTACAATATGTACTCAGCTGTGATACACTGTCAGAACAACACGAACACAATTGAAGTCCGCAAAATAAAATGCAACAGCCCCGAACACATGGGCTGTTTGGCAACTGTAACTTTAAAGTATAAAACCTGAAGTTTTGAAGATGAATATGTATGTATGTGTGTAGTGTAATGTAATATAGAGGAACATGCGATGCAAACTAGGACCGTAGTAAACAAGTCCAGCTTCCTACATAAGGACGCTTGTGTCATATAGTCCTGCGGACTAAGACAATAGTTATGTAAAATCATATTACCTTTGTCATCCCCACACCGATGACAAACACCCTGTTCTTCTTTCTGGGTGCCATGGTCGATTATCCGGTGCTTCAGCTCCAGGTAAAGACAGACAAGTGTGAGCAGCAACGACAGAATCAGCCAACCTAGCTAACCACACCGCAAAGATCGTCTGTTCACTGAAAGATGCCCCACGTGGTAGGGAAAACAAGCAACGTTGGCAGAGCCTGTTGAGACACATGTTTACTACTAATGGATGGTATGGCCATAATAAACATGACGTGAGTTTATTATGGCTATACCAATAAAATCTCAACAAAAAACATCAAAATGCTATTATAGCTTTTTGTTGTCAAATTTTGCTACAATGACTTTTGTCCAAATAAGTCTTCAAAAATCATTGTTTATCTTGTTTAATACAATGAGACTACTACTAATACTCTAACATTGTTGTATTTTGCTTTGGTGCAGTGATGCGGATGAAACGAGGTAAGTATTTTCTTCTTAGTTATTGCCTTGTTGTGATTTTTTTTACTTTTATTGTTAAAATCACTGCAGTATTTACTCTGACTTATCACAAGTGCATGCACATGGTTAAATTGAAAGGGTAACTGGACAAGTGTTTTCTCTAGGTCTACAATGTTTATTCACACCACTGTCCAACAATCTCAGCCATGGCAGAACATATGAGAGCTGCTTCCAGGCTTTTTGTAGTACCTTGTGAGACATAACTCCTTACTCTTCATCCACCTACAGTTCTTTCCAATCTGTTAAAAGTTGCTCCAAAATTAATATTGGCCAGATGAGACACTTTTGCTCAGTGCAACTTCATTTAGAAGCAACATCAAGTTCTCATAATTCACAGGTGTAACAGACTGTTCAGGACTCCTGTGTTGTCTAAGTACTTGGATTTGCTAATATTTCATATGGTCTGAAGCTGCACTGACAGCTGGATTTTCCAGTGGTCATTTTTTAAATTCCCTCCTACAAAATATGCACAAATGTTTCACTGCATCTACTGGGCTTTGAAAGTTTATTATTGGATATACATTAAAGGCACTATAAACTATACTACTATACAATTAGGTGTAAAAGTAAAATCTTTTCTGAATTTGTAACTCAGTACACGTACAGCAAACCATCAATACACATTCCATTAGCACAACAGGAACATCCTTGACAGCGACACTAAAATTGGTTCCTTGGTCACAGCATGGAGGAGTGTGTTCAGATATCCCATGCAACACTTTTTAAATTCTCCATCAATTCTCTATTTTAAATTCCTTAAAAAAGTGCTCCTTGGCCACATCTGCAGGTACTGTGGAACATTTCATAGAAATCATTTTCCAATCTTCAGTTAAACACTAATGATGAAGCAAAAAAAAAAAAAAACTTCAACTAATTTTTCACACTTCAATTTTATTGAGGCAATGAAAAAGGTTTTGTCTGCTTAGCATTTCGATAAATCTAAGCCACATGTATGGACAACCAGTTCTGTCAGTCTGCACCTCTTAACGTTCATCATCAAACAAACCGAACCAGGTCAGAATCAGAAGTGTCCTTGTTACCAGGAAATAGGCCTGAAGATGTCTGGCTCTAGTGTTCTGGCGTCCATCTCTGAGGACAGGACATCAGCACTTAATGAACCGGTGTGTGACCTCATATATTCCCACAGACTCGCGAACTTTCTCATCGTAGTCTGTCCAGTCCTGAAATGAAAATCATTACCAGAAATCAGTGACTGAAGCAGAAGAATAAGTCAAAAATCTAAAGAAAATGACCACAGGAAATTGTCACAAATTAATCATATCCAAATGGCCCAGCATGAAAGATGGAAATTATGTTGCAAGACACATTCTCCAAAAAGGTTAACATACTGTACGAACAACAGGTTGCTCTCTCTACACTTACTTTTTCTTGCAGGTTGACTTCAGGAAATTGTGTCCCAGACTCTGCTCCTTGTACAGCAAAACCAGCCTGAAGACAGAAATTGATAAAAGTCACATGGCATTTATCATGCTGTCCAGTTTGTGACATTCTGTTTAGTTACCTGGAACAAGAGACACCATACCTATTTTTTTGGATTATGCATATAAAGCATTAATTTAACATCTTGTAATGCTCGAGGACTTTAAATATGTCTGCTATACTTTTTATGAGACAAACTGCTTCTGGGGTGAGTTGCATTCCCACACCGATTTAACTAATAACATCAATTGATCCATTTCATTTAAGTAGGTCCTTCCAGTGAGCTAGCATGTGCAACACCAGGCTCGTGGAATGACCAAATGCAATGCACCAATTATGTGTTGTTCATTTCAACTGTGTTCTGCAAGCCAAAATATCAGCTATGCAAAAGACAGGTTAAAAACATATCCACACAATTTAAAAGGTTCTCACACAATTTAAAAGGTTCTCACTTGTGGTTGGAAATCAATGGGCTCCAGACCTCGACACTCAAACTGCACCATTGTCTTGAAGCTTTCGCTGTCCTCCGCCTTCAACCCAGCAAACATGTAGCACCATTAGAGAGAGAGGCACACCGTTAATGCCTGGAAAATGAAGCTGTTTCTATCAACATATTATTAATCTATAACAACATAACAGACTTTCTTTAAATGACACCAGGATTTTTTTTTAAGTTCTGGATGTGCTTTACTATAAAAATGCATTAACTAAGATTTTACACAGTGATAAATAAAGTGAAAGTGCAACAGAACATGGTGTCTCTCAGCTACACTACCCCCTCCATGACAGTCCATCATCTACAGCTCTTCTGTTGTTAGTTGCTATGAAACAAGATGTGATGGGAGGGGGCAAAGACAAGTCAAAAGATGTTTTCATGGTGTCAGTTTGTTTTGAGTCTCATTCAACCTTGTAGTGGCTCAAAAGAAATTAGCTACAGTAGCTCTAAAAACTACCTCTTGTTATTATGAGACAAGAAAAACAAAAGACATTCTCTGAAAAATTTCACACTCAAAGAAAAACCTAAATGTGGAAGTATGCAATGTTTGCTTACATTATAAGGTGTAATTGTGTCTCCCAGGATATCTGTAAGGAAATAACTGACATGTTGTACTTCCAGATATTTTACCTCAAAAAATTTCAGACAAAGTCAAATCACATGTTAGTGTGTACCAATTGAATTTTCCCGGGCGCAAAGTTTACACTTCTGCACCATGCTGGCACTGCCTCGTCCTCCTTTTAGTGGTACACTCTCCTATGGAAACGCACAAAAGAGGTTGGGTATTGTGAGTAAAATGTTAAAACATTTTGGCAAACTGAAAAGACACAAAGACGGGTTTTTATCCTTACCACTAGGGTTACATACTGCCATTTATCTGGGACCTCACCACAGTTCCCACACTTCAGCTAAACAAAGGAAAAAAATACAATATAGTTGATTCCAGGGGAAATGGCAATTTGGTTCAACATGTTCAACATGTACTATTGCAGGTCCAATGGAAAAAAACTGTGGACCAAAGCAGAGGTGTTGACTCGGATACATTCCCTTGCACTTCATGCATAATCACTTTTTAATAGGTTTTGTTAAAACAGTGTTAAATTCGTGTCAAACTATTATAACCCCACGAGGAAATTTAAGCTTGGAACTGCAAAATACACGAATCTGAGGATGTGTCAAAATAATTAACAGAGATGAACTAGTACTAGCATGCTAGCTTGACAGCCATCCTACCTTCAGAAACCAGCGGAAATCGTCGCCCAGTGGCCTCACATTTGTGACATTCTCCAGAGTGGCTTTAAACTGGAGCCCAAACTTCTGTCATGACAAAAAGAGAGGTTAAATTTACCCAAAACTGGATAAGAAACTTCACTGTTTATACCAGAACCATGCAACACCGAGACATACCCCCATCTTGAAGCCTTTCCTGTGACATCACGTGCAACGTTCATTGACACCTCGTAAGTTTGAACGAATGAATAGTATGATGAAATGGGCGTTTCGCTGGCAATATACATGTTAATAAATTGGTCGTTTTAAATGGTATTCAGTATTTCTAACGATGTAGCGTGTCGACGCCATAATTATAAATAAAAAAAATCCCAAACATCAATAATACCATACAAATCTCACGGCAAAAATCTGTTACACCACGGACAACAAACACAACACGGGCAACACAGAATGGATTCAAGTTTTTATTGCAACCGTATGATAGAATGTAAACTGGTTTCTAATGTGAGAATGTAAACTGGTTTCTAATGTGGATACTTCCTGCACGTTAACCTGAGGCAACTTTGCAGAGGCATTGTGGTGGGTCTTCGTGGTTAACAGCCACACCTGGGATATCTGATATTGCTGCAGCAGGGAACACCTGTTTCAAACCATCTGGCATTTGAAATCAAAATGGCATTTTCTACCTGAGTATGCACGTCATATCTTAACCTTAATCCAACAGAGCTGACATGTCATGTAAATGCTAGAAACCATCTAAAATGAGAAATATTAATTAGATATACAAATTTCAGTACCCTCCAATTCACAATAAGTCAAAAGAAGAAAAAAAAACAGAAGCACTTGTATAAATGAGGTTTGATTGGGAGTCAATACACAGGCCATAAATTATAGGGGAGAAGTATCAAAAAAAGAAAGTAACAATACGCACAACAAAGGACCGAGTTCATACAGTAGTCACCTGAAACTTGCGGCCTTTGGCTTCATTGGTATGGCAGTCACATTATTCTACATGTGATCATCAGTACTGAGAAACCATGTAGTGTTTCTGCTGCTGCAGACATGCATAAATAATGTGGTGAAATCTGGCAGTAAATAGACTTCTAGTGTAGCCCATTACACTAAACAACACAATGAGGGAACTTAAAACACTTAACAGGAGACTGTCAGTACAAATACTGAGTGCAATCCTGGTTTGTTCAGGTCATCTTCTAATCTGCCTCCTTTTGTTTGGAACCCAACCCAAACAGTTAACAGACTTCCCAGTCGTTAGGGTTTCAAGTTTTATCAGACATTTAGAGGGGGGGAGAAAAAAAAAAGACATTCCCCCTCTTTTATTCATTATCAGCATGAATTTCCATAGAGCAGCAGGGGATACACACACACAAAAAAAACATAAAACAATCTGGGAGGAAAATGCATGAGGTCAACTTTAACCCTTGGTTTCATCACAGGTACAACAGATCTTCTTTGACCCTCCTGACAAAAATCTAAAGCCCGAGCTCAATTACACTGAAAGGAACTACAAGCAGTCATAATAAAAGGCATTTCAATCATTTTTGCATCTCTTCCCCCCCCTTAAATACACTGATGCCAAGAGGCATTATTTACAACACAACCCCCACACCCCTCTCCGTCCCGGGAAGAGAGGTGTGATGATGTCAATGAGGCCGGCTGCTTGACTCGGAGGTCCGCCGCTGACGTGGAGTACTGTTGCCGTTTACACAGCCGTTTTGGCGCTTGCTTAGCCCTCCATTCAGAATGTCTTGGATGTGCTGTACTATCAAATTGATGGCCACTGCAGAAAGAGAGGGAGATGGTTACACAGAAGACTGGGCAATCTGGCAATGCATCATTGTACTCCCATAACATTATCAGATAAAAAAAAAATAT